GATAACAGCGGCCCTTTGTCACTGGCTGTCGTGACTAATGGGGCTTGTTGATTCAGTGACTAGGCTCCCACCCACGGAAGCTGGGCTTCTGTCATGGCACCAGGCAGCCACAGACAACCCATAGTTCTCCCTCCCTTTCCCACTCCGTGACCAGACATTCCCAGCACTGCCCAAGTGAACTGTCTTATTCTCTACTGGGGCTCTTCCTATCCCAGCCCCTGAGGCTTCTCCTTCCTGAAGCCCCTGTGGTGAGGCACTGGGTCTGTGCCCGGAGCTCTGTTGGGGCCAAGCCCAGTCTATTCCTTCACTTGTTTATACCTTCAAGTTCCGAGGTGATGGTTACAGAGTTTTGAAGTTACATTTTAATAGCAAAATTCTGTGACCTTAAAATTTTTCTTTTCTCACATCCCATTTTGTGTGTGTGCCTGTGTGTGTGTGTGTGTGTGTGTGTGTGTGTGTGTGTGCAGACATGCATGTGGAGGGAGGTCAGAGGGCAACTTGGGAAAGTCAGTTCTTTCCCCCTACCATGTGGGTCCTGGGGATGGAACTTGGGTTGTCAGGCATGGAGGTGAGTGATTTACCCTTAAAACACAAAGTATCCAGCCCTATGGAGTCAGTAATGCTTTGTAAGGCCGTGTGATTTAGGTACCACTGGTGCGGTGGTAATACCTTAGGGCACTGATTGGAAGCCACGGATACCGTTGTACCTGGTGGATGGGGGCCAGATGGGCATCCTCTCCAAAAGTCCATAATCCCTGAGCCTCTCAGAGACACCCAGTTTGTACTGTGCTTTGGGGCACAGCTGAGGTGGATTCATACTCAAGATGCCACGACAAAGTGCTGGAAGCCAGACTTCCCTCAGCCCTAAGCTGCCAGAACATAGGACTCCATCAGACTGCAGTGCCGGCCACTGAGGGTGGCCTTCCTTCTTGTCGGTGTGGGTGTGGGAGCTGGCAGGAAGTGACTCCGTTAAGCATCCCAGCCAGCCTTCTGCCCACAGCTCCCAACATGCTCTTCGGCAAAGGCTTGCAACTGGAGGTGAACTCTCTCCTGTACCTTGTCCTGACACACGTTGAGTCAGGACCTAGTGTGTGCCTGGTACCCACCTGGGTTGCTAGGCAGGGCTAAGCCCACATCTTGCTTCCTGGTGGTCCAGCTGTGGTTAAGAAACTGAGGCCATTTTGCTTGAAGCAGATGGATTCAGCCAGGGGAGGTTGGTCTTAGGCCTGGGGGTGGGGAAGAGAGAATTGTTCTGTACGGTGTGGGGACACTGGCCTAGATGGCCTTGGGTAGGTCCTTCACCCTGGGAGGGGCTGTTTCTTATCTGTCAGAGATGGTAATCTCAGGTGGACCTGGAGGAGCTGCTGGGGAGAGGTGTTGGAACCAGAGAGTGCTGGAAATTCTCTTCAGCTGGAGGGAAAACTGAGGCCTTTGCCTTTTTTTTTTTCCTGCACTGGGTCCCTGACTTGGTTATCTCAAGAGGGTCCTTACTACACAGCCCCAAGGGATGCCCGAAGCAGATGTCTACGCCCCACGTTTCTGCCCTCCGAACCTCTAACTTTGAGTTTTCAAATAAGGCAGCTTCCAGGCTCTTTGCTTCAGTGGGAGGGAGCTAAGTGGCCCTGAGTTTCATGGCCCAGACCACGAAATTTTTTCTTACAATGAGGTCCCTGCTATATTTTCTTTGAAAGTTTCGTGTGTGTGTGTGTGTGTGTGTGTGTGTGTGTGTGTGCGTGTGCGTGCGCGCGCGCGTGTGTATGTCTCTACACACCTGTGTCCATGTGTGGTGTACATATACCTCAACAGGCATGTGGAAAAGGTCAGGCAAACCTACAGGTATAGGAATCTTTTCCTGTTTTCAGTTGAGTCCCAGGATCAAAGTCGGGTCACCCTTACCTGCTGAGCCATCTGAACGGCTGATTTTTTTTTTTTTTTTTTTTTTTTTTTTTGAGGCCCACAGAGGAGAAAGATAAGACTGACTTGCCTTTACCTCCCTGAGTGAGCAGCAAGAGATGGGAGACTCAATGGGAGTTTCTTTATCCCTAGACATCCCTAACAGTCTGGAGGAATCCAGGTCAGAAGCCATACTGGGGAGGGCCCTTATGAGCCCTCAAGAACACAACAGGCTTCTTAATGGTACCTGAAGTTACATCGAAAACTCCAGTCAGCTGGAACTAGGGGAATCAGGGTTCAGACCACCTCCTCCCCACCTCCCACCCTGATTTCTTCACCGGCCGAGATTTTTTTTCTTCCCTCCCTTGTGATACCACTATGAAGGTCCCAGCTGAGGGTGGAGATGGGGCAGTCAGGGAATTGCTCCTCTTCCCTTAGCAGAGGACAGGGGGTTATAGGATGGGGTTACCCCACCACCATCACCCATTCCCTGACCTGAACCTGGTTTGCTGGTTTCGGTAGAGATTTGCTTTAGAAGCTTGTTGTGTAAACACGATCATAGTGTTGGATAAACTCAGCAAAGTCAGGGGGAACAGATTGCTTCCCTGTGAAGAGCCCGCGTTATCTAGCTCTAAGAGAAGCCCTCCCTTTTGGGAAATTGCTGGCTTTGGGGACTTCTCTATGGAGGGAGGAGGCTAACTGCCTTATGTCTGTCTGGACCCCACCCCAGTATACATTCACAGCCTTAGCTACCTCACGTTGAATAAGGTCCGCACCCCTGGTTGTGACTTAGGCTGCCCTAGTTCGATCCAGGACCTCTGACCTATCTCCAGTTCTCCCTCCCACAGAGGGAGTCCATGGGTTAGGAGAGGGTGGAGTTGGGGCCTAGAATGAGGAAGAAGTTTTAATCTTGGGGTCTGTTCCCATCTGGAGGGCGCTGTTCTCGAAGGAGGCAGTCACAGAGATGGCTACCACGGGAATGTGGGGTACCACCTGGAGTAGCATAGGCGTGGTGTGGGTGGACATGTGAGGGGGTGGACTCTCAACTGACCTATGGATGGGTCCAAATGAACGTCGTCTACTGCAGTGGGTTCTCAACCTGTGGGTCGCAACCCCTTTGGAGTCACAGACCAGCTGTTCCCATTACGATCCGTAACAGTAATGCAATTATAGTTATGAAGCGGCAGCGAAATAATTTTATGGGCGGGGTCATCACAGCATGAGGAACTGTATTAAAGCATCACAGCATTGTGCTGTCGCTGCTCATTGGAGCTGAACCCCAGTGAATCAATTCTTTGAAGTTGGGCCTGTCTAAGCTCAAAACCTTTGTCCCAAGGGAGGAGAGCATGCTTTTGCTTTGTGCTTCTAAAGGAAGTTCGGTATCACTAGCAGCTTCTGCACACACTAAACTGCCCTCAGTAGCCTGTAGGGCTTACACAGCTTCTCCCATTTCCCCAACAGCCATGCCTGACTCTTTCTGCTCTGTTCTATTCATGAGTGAGGCCAATAGGGCTCTCTGGGTCCTGCCAAGCTTCCTGGACCAAGGTGACCCTGTTTCCTCAGTGCTAGCTTCAGCTGCACCCCTCTGGATGTTCTGTAGAGGCTTAGTGAACCGGCTCTCTCCTGCCTCCTCGTCTCTTGAAATTCCATCTTGATCCTATGCCCTCTTGTTCATACAAGCCTCCTGGCACCGGGAGTGGCCACAGACCCCAGAGTCCCTCACCACAAGTCAGGCAGCTCTCACTCGTTGCTTAGAACAACGGGCACAAACACTTGTTACCTACCAAGGCTGTGTGTTCCTCATATAGAAATTCTGTGACCCTTTTGTAGTGCAGACGTTAACGCTGGCATCCATTTTACAGGTGGGGAAACTGAGGCCGTAAGATGCCTAGTGACATTCTTAAGGCCACTCAGCTGGTGAATGACAGAGGTCAGGGGGTCTCAGGGGCCTTTAGTTGAACAATGCACTTCTTTTTCTGTTTTATTGAGACAAGAGTCTCTCTATGTAGCCCTGGCTGGCCCAGAAGGCATGTAGACGAGGCTGGCCTCAAATTTGCTGCAATCTTTTATGTCAGGATTGTAGGCATGCACCACTCCTCCCAGCTGTTCTATTTTTTTCTTTTTTACTCCATTCTTTGTTCTGGTCTGTGCTGGCGCCCTTGAAAGATGGTCTGTACTGAGCTGGGTTATTTGGGCTCCCACGTCTCACCTACTTACCTGGGCCTTCTGTACCTGGTGTCCTGGAACCAGTGCTGGGAGCAGTCATGGGCCTGACTCTCTGCCCCTTTCCCAGCCTGCCTAGCTGGGGGCCGTGTTCCACATCCCCCATCCCTGCTCAAGTCCTGTGGGATTGTGTTTGCGCTCCACCACCTGCAGCCCCTTGGAGCTGGAGCCGGCAAGGCAGGCCACATTCCTGCAGCTGCTGTTGCCAAGGAGAGCCCATCCCAGGCCTACCGCCCATTCACTGGAGCCTCCAGAATGCAGGAGTCTTTTCAGATTAGCGTTCACTGTCCCTGGCCCAAAGGGCACCCCGGCCTTTTTTCACTAACAAGACCAGGATACAGTCCTTCCTGTGGTTGAGAAAACGGTCCTTGTGACCAGGCCTGGAGCCACCCTGTGAGGGCAGAGCTGCCTCAGCACAGACAACTCCGCCATGCCAGGCCTGGCCCCGCTTCTCATTCTTGAGGCTTCTGCGCCCACACCCCAGGGTCTAGCTTAACTGGATGCTGGTTTTCTAAGTATAAATTGTTTCTGGAGGGATTGTGAAAGTTCCCCACTGGTGGCCCCCAAGTATGATTCTCAGGGTGGGATCACCCTATGACCTTCACAGGGACTGCAGTTTGTGTTCCCTAGTTGGGTCCCCTGACTAGACAGAGTACCCTGGGGTCCCCATACTTGCCCCTCTGCCTGGCACCAGGTTAGGTCGCTATAGCATCGGGGATATGAGTAGGACCAGGGGCTTCCCAGAGCTGAGAGCTGCATGCAGTGGGTTCCTGCAGGTGTAACTGGGATGGTTGGCTGAGCCTGTTCGGCTGCCCAAGACGGGAGCTCAGTGATTTGGGGCATTGGCCAAGCTTCATCTCAACCCCCTTTTTGATCTTTTCTAGCAAATCGTGGCTGTAAACGTACCTCCTGAAGATCAGGATGGCTCTGGGGACGACTCTGACAACTTCTCTGGCTCGGGCGCAGGTAAGGTGGACCCAGAACCCTGAGATGGCTAAAGTGTGTGAGCAGGCAATCACTTAGCTTTAGTGAGCCCCCTTCCTTCCCCATCCCGCCCTTAGCCATCGGAGTCAGAGGGACAGTGCCCCAGGGAAGAAGCTGGTGTCCAGCTGCTCACAGTTTAGCTAAGGGGAACCCCCACAGAAAGAAGTGAAGTGGCTCCAAGATGCCATAGGCAGCATCTAGAGACAACCCTTGGAGAAGGTGTTTGACTCCATTGAGCCTTGGTGTTTCCATCTGTGATATGGGAATACTTTGACCCACAGGCTCTTGGGAGCTGCAGGTAGCACAGAGTCTGCTGTCTATAGGATTGCCCTCACTTCCTGTCCTTGATTCCATCTGTCTAGGGGAAGAGAAGGCTTTTTGTTACAGCTAGCCTAAGAGGTCTCCCAGTACTGAGGTGGGGAGTATTGAAAAGGGAAGTCGGAGTAGCAGTGGGAAGCAAACCAGAGCAAAGGGCTGGGAGATAAGAGATAAGATGTAGCCATGTGTTCCTGGGCCTTTGGGGAAGAGGGCAGGGTAGATGAGTGTCCTGGTTTAGGGTCCTATCATCTATGATGCCATAGCCCATTCTCCCAGCAGAGCCCCTTCCCAGATTCCTTGTCTCTTCCTCACAGCTGAGAGAGCAGGCTGCAAAAGTGCATCTTTTGTGGCCTTGTTTTCAGAGTTCTGCCTTGGCTAGTTCACCCTGGAGGACTCAGGCCCCCGTCTCCTCTTAGCATGAACTTGTCAGGCTTGACACTCGGGGACCTCCCTGCCCTGACACCCCCACTTCTGGCCCTGTAGGTGCTTTGCCAGACGTCACTTTGCCGCGGCAGACTTCTCCCAGTTTGAAGGATGTGTGGCTCCTGACAGCCACACCCGCAGCACCAGAGCCCACCAGCAGGATTGCCGAGGCTGCCTTCACCTCCATCCTGTCAACTGTAGAGAAGCCTGAGGAGGGAGAGCCAGTGCTTGAGGCAGTGGACACTGGCCTCACCGCTCAGGACAAGGAAATGGAGGTCACCACCAAGCCCAGGGAGACCACACAACTCCCAATCACCCAACGGGTCTCAACAGTCAGAGCCACCACAGTCCAGGCTGTCACATCTCATCCCCACAGAGATGTGCAACCTGGCCTCCATGAGACCTTGGTTCCCACAGCACCTGGCCAGCCTGACCACCAACCTCCAAGTGCGACAGAAGGAGGTACTTCTGTCGTCAAAGAAGTTGTCGAGGATGGAGCTACCAATCAACTTCCTACAGGGGAGGGCTCTGGCGAGCAGGTGAGTGACTTTGTATTTCCTGGGTGGCCACTAGTACCTGGCATCTGGCATCTTTCATCCTAATGTCCTTTGCCCGTTAAAGCATATTGTAGTCTTGGCCACAGTGATGGAGTAACAGGGTTCCACCTTCCTCCTGCCCTGAACAAACTGATTACAAGATTAGCAGGAGGCTCCTTAGATATCACTCAAGAGCTAGCCACCCAACGTTACACCAGGATGACTTTTCTCTCTTAGAGCATCCTGGGATTTTCATACAGAAATGGGTGTTTTGTGTCACTCAGGGTGGTGTCTGTGCCAAGGTCCCGAGTGTGATTGCATTCTATGACAGATGGTGGCATAGGTTGGATGTGTCTGATGTGGGGTGGGAGGGGAACCCCAACAGGGCATGGCAGTGCTCCAGGTTGCTATTGTGTCAATGGCTCCAGCCCGACCTGATCCCAGCTTGGCCTCCTGCAGGACTTCACCTTTGAAACATCTGGGGAGAACACAGCTGTGGCGGCCATAGAGCCTGACCAACGGAATCAGCAGCCAGTGGATGAAGGAGCCACAGGTGCCTCTCAGGGCCTTTTGGACAGGAAGGAAGTGCTGGGAGGTGAGTCTTTCTTTTGAGTAGGTAAGAGAAGGCAGGCTGTGGCTCTGTGGTAGTGCGGGGTACAGCCATCCTTGGCTATGGGGTGGAAGGAGAAGGCGTGAGTATGGCCCAGGCCGTTTCCCGTGTTGTCCATAGCTGCTCAACTGAGCCAGCCTCTGTCCACTCCCTAGGTGTCATCGCCGGAGGCTTGGTGGGGCTCATCTTTGCCGTGTGCCTGGTGGCTTTCATGCTGTACCGGATGAAGAAGAAGGACGAAGGCAGCTACTCCTTGGAGGAACCCAAACAAGCCAATGGCGGCGCCTACCAGAAACCCACCAAACAGGAAGAGTTCTACGCCTGATGGAGGAATGGTTCTCCCCCCGCCCCTGCCACTCACTAGGCTCCCACTCGCCTCTTCTGTGAAAAACTTAAGGCACTGGCCTCCCCAACACTGTGTCGCCTCCTCAGCACCCAGACCCTTCCAGCTGGTCCTGCCCGAGCAGTCCCAGGGTGTGCTGGGAATTCATTCTACTTCTTTGACTTCTGCCTAGAAGCTTGGGCGCAAAGGGTTTCTTGCATCTGACCTTTCTACCACAGCCACGCCAGATGTCCACTATTCTGACTTGGTTTCTCCAAACGGGAGGAGACCCAGCTCTGGAGAGAAAGGGGACCCAACTGCTTTGGACCTAGGTGGCCTATTACGGCTGGAGGATCCGAGGGACAGGAGAGGGGCTTCGGTTGATATGCCATAGCACTTACCCGTAGAAACCGCTATTGTTGGCCATGCTGTGGTAGGGGACGGAGTTCGGGGCTCCTTGGAATTCACTTCACGTTGTGGGGAAGCCTACTTTAGATATCAACTCGTTTTTGCACATGTTTTCTCTAGTTTCTCTGTTCAGAACCCCAGTAGGCTTTACTTCTGGGGTAAGGCAAGTCAATCGACTGTCCCTCACCTCGCTTCCCTAATCTACATTCGGGAGACAGCATCGGGGTCATTCAGACTTTTTCGTTTTTATTTTTAAACCTAGAAGAACCAAATCCAGATGCCAAAATGTAGGCTTGGTTTGTGTGTTGTCTCTTAAGTTTGTCGCTCATGCGTGCAACAGGGTATGTATGAACTATCTGTTTGGTGGTCCGTAAGTAGGCTGGGTAGTCCAGGATGCCATGGGGTAGCCACCTCTTGACCAGTCATGCCTGTGTGCATGAACTCAGGGCCATGGCCTGGGCCACTGCAACATTGGACGAGCCTGTGTGAGAACTTAACTCCTAGAGCACAGTCGAGGGATGGAGGGGAGAGAAGACTGAAGTGGGGGAGGGGTGCCGAGGGTGTCTAAGACTCTCCCATCTTTGGTACCATCTCTGGTCACCTTTCTCCTGGAAGTTGACAAGGCGCATCTTGAGTATGGCTGGCACTGGCTCCTCCATCGAGAACCAAGTTCACCTTCAGCCCCTGTGGCCCTGCCCCAGGCTGGAGTCAGAAATCCTTCCCAAAGAGCAAGAGTCTTTGCTTTTGGCAAAACGCTACTTAATCCAATGGGTTCTGTACAGTAGATTTTGCAGATGTAATAAACTTTAATATAAAGGAGTCCTATGAACTCTATTGCTTTTGCTTCTTCTCTGGGCTGGTGGTGTAGACGTAGCCAGCCTTTTCTCAGACCCTGGCAGCTCAGGGAAGCTTGGCTCAAGGCTATGTGCCTCCAATCTCTGAGAGGTAGGATCCTGGGTCCAGGATTCCTCTGATTTTTTGTTTTTGTTTTTGTTCTTTTGGTCAAACTTCTTTTGGAAGTTGGTAGGATCAGCCAAGGTTTTACAGGGCCTGATGTCCGCTCTTCTGAATGGTTTAAGTAGCCAGGACTCTAGCGTAACCTGACCTAGGGTCACGCTTGGTTTGCAGAGCAGACACCTGGGACAGGCTTCCTCCCACGTGTTTGCTGGGGCACTTCCGAGGACTCCTCGCTCAACGATGTTCCAGCTGCTGGCGAGGCTGCTCGGGGGCTCAGTTAGACAAAAGACCTGTTCCCTCTGTTTCGTTCCAGAACTTGTTGCCAGAACGTAATGGCTGGATGTGATGTGGGGTGGGGGTGGGGTCAGACCGGAGACAGCGCTCAGCTGAGAGCTTGAGAGACAGTGCCCAAGCCCCAGGCTGGGCTCGTTCGTGTAATTGCAATAAATGGTACGTGTCCATTTGGACAGCAGACTCTTTGGTGGTTGTGGAGTCTCTTCTTGTTTCGGCCATGTCCTGCTCGGTCTGGATTTTGGAATGGGAGTTTAACTGACCTGGGTTCTGGGCTTGGTACCAAATAGCAACAGTTTCTGCTGTCCTCTCTCAGGCCCCAGGGCAGGACTTTGGGCTCACCTTCTCCCAGGACTCCCGGCTTTGCACCTGTCCAGCTCTCTAAGTGTGTCGCACCAGCTCCAGCTGGATTATCCCGTCCCCTGGGGTCATGAGCACTCTGCTGTCGCTGAGTTTCAGGGTTTGCTGTTTGTTCTGTTTGCTCATTGTGCAACTCTTAAAACACTCTCACTGGCAAATGGTCTTATGGGGTAAAGGTTTGCAAGTATTGTCTGTACATTGGGAAGAAGTGACGGCGAAAAACCGGCAAATTGAGAAAACACAGAACACTGAGGAGCCCCCCTCCCAGATTATGGGGCAGCTAGCTATCTCCTCTCAGTCTCATCTGGTCCTCGGTGATGCAGGGCAGGAGGAACTGTACCTGTTGGTACAGCAGGGCCTATGGGCTCCGGTTGCTTAGCACATAAAACAGTCTCTTCCCATGCGTTATACTCCAAGAGTAGAGCTGGTTGCTGAGCCTAGTATCACCCGTGCCTATATTACCAGCGACTTGGAAGACCTGGGGAGGAAGTTGGTTAGTTGAAAGTTTGCCCAAGTTGCAGAGCGAGTTCAAGGTCAGCCTGGGCAAATGACAGAGGCCCTGTCTCAAAAGGAAAAGAAAATAGAAGGGCTAGCAAGATGGCTCAGTAGGTAAAAAGGTGCTTGCCACTAACGCTGACAACTTGAGTTCGATCCTCAGAGCCAGAGCCACCTGAAGGGAGAGAACGAGCAGACAGCTGCAAGTTACCTTCCGGCCTTTGCATGCACACACGAGCACCCTCCCCCAGCTAAATAAACAAAATCATTTTTCCTATTTAAAAAGTTATATAATGTGTTTTGATTCTGTTCTCCCCAACTCCTCCCCACATCCCTCCTCAACCAACTTCTCTCTCCCAAGAAACAAAAACTCAAAACAAGCAACAAAACATCCCAACAAGGAAAAAAAAAGTAAGTAGAAAAGTAAAAACACAGAGAAAAAACATGGGCCCGGGGCCGCTTTGGTGTGTATGGTCGATATACCAGTACACCGCCATGCCGTTAGAGAACATTTATTTTCGTTTTCTCATCAGGTATCCATCGTAAATAGCTTCCTGATAGCGTTTTGGTAAGGGGTGGAACTTTGTGTCCACTTCCCTTTGTCCCCGGGTGATTGTGTGTGGTTTGAACTTGTGTAGGTCTTGTGTGGGCGGTCAGTCTCCGAGTTCCTATGTGCATGCGCCCCGTCGCGTCTGGAAGATGTCATTTCCTCCGAGTCATCCACCACCTCTGAGTCTTGCATTCTTTCCATTTCTTCTAAGTAGAGCTCTGACCTTGCGGGGAGGGGTTTAGTAAAGATATCCCATTTAGGACTGGGTGCTCCAAAGTCTCCAACTCTGCATATTGTCCAGTTGCAGGTCTGTCTTCATTACCATCCACTGCAAGAAGCCACTTCTTTGATGATGGCGGGTGATGTCCTGACCTGTGGGATATATATCTGTATGTCATTAGGAGTCATTTTATGGCTATGTTCTTTGACAGAATAATAGCGATAGGTTTTCTCCCACAACCCACAACTCTAGTTTCAGTTTCGTGGCTGTTTTAGCCGTGTCAGGCATGGGTTCCATCGCATGGAGTGAGCCTTAAGTCTGATCAAAAAATGGTTGGCTCCTCCCATGACCTTTGTGCCACCGCTATACCAGTATATTCTACAGGCAGGTTGCTGTTGGAGATCACAGGGTTTGCAGCTGGGTGATGCTGATGAGGACTGTTTTCCTGCAGTACCCTGTGGAGCAGCGTCCAGGCCGCTAGTTGGACAGAGTCATCACAGTTTCTTCAGAAATTGAACATTTTTTTTTTTTTTTTTTTGGTTTTTCGAGATAGGGTTTCTCTGTGGCTTTGGAGCCTGTCCTGGAACTAGCTTTATAGACCAGGCTGGTCTCGAACTCACAGAGATCCGCCTACCTCTGCCTCCCGAGTGCTGGGATTAAAGGCGTGCGCCACCATCGCCCTGCGAAATTGAACATTTTAATTAAAAAAGTTTAAGCGTAAAGAGGGCTGGTGATGCGTAGTTCAGTGGTAGCACACTTGCCTATCTGGCCTAAGCAAGACCCTAGCTTTAGTCACTGTCCCTGAGCTCATTCATTTGTTCCTTAAACACCGAAAGCAAGAGTGCTGGTTCTTCCCCAGCCCCTGGGCTGGGTAGCAAAAACAGTGATGGACTTGGCCTCTGAGCTATCCATTAATTTTATTGATTCATATTTTACCCAAGACCTCCAGAAAGAAGCTAAGATGTGGGTGGACTGTCTGTCCCCACCTCACTCCAGCTCGCTGTCCTGTGTGCCATTGCCCCCTTTCCCACTTTTCCAAGACTCTTCTCTGTAGGGAGCCACAGGGCACATTTCTGTCCCTTCGTCCCCAGCTCCCGCCACTGGAATGAGTGTGCTAGTGTTCCACGTAGGAGTCAGAGTCATGGAATTCCCCTTCGAGGGTTCTGAGTAACTTTCTGAGCAGGGTTCGGCTGTATCGTGTTCTTAATTTGCAGCTGGTTTCTGTTGGAATCGCAGCCTGCGCCTTGCTTGCCTCTGGGGTTTTGCTCCGAATGTCCTGTCGCATTCAGAATGAAGATCCGGGACCTCTGTTGTGCTCTCGAGGATGCCAGAGACAAAGGACAAAGCGGTGGCCAATGCAGAGTTCTGTGGAGGCTAGTGGTGATTGGAAGCATGGGGACATTGGTTCAGCTCAGCGTCAGAGTCATTGGAGCTCTCACCTGGGCGGCCCTTGGACCGAGTCTGGAGGAGCAAAGTGTAAGTGGCCTCTGACATAGAGAAGAGGCACTCCAGGAAGAAGGCCCACCTCAGCCAAAGACAGGGATCCAGATGCTCGCGCTGACTGGAAAGCTGAAGCAAGCGCAGGAAGGGCAAGACTGTGCAGTCTAGCGACAGCTGTGTAAAGAGAAGGCCTTGCAGACGGTTGGGGGAGGATGGATGGAGGGCCTGGGTTGAGACACAGAGGCAGAACTATCGGCATTTTTGAAGCCTGTTTCTGGAGGATCTTGCTCTCCCTTGGGAGCCTGAAGGGAGCCCAAAGGCAAAGGGGTGAGATAAGCCTTCTGAACTAATGGTCTCTGTGAGGAGAGGTCACGAGGGGAGAGGGGACAGCAGCCTTTGAGGTGAGCAATCTCGAGCCCTCTGCTGGTCTAGGCACTGATGGTGGTTGGTCCCAGAACAACACCTGGTAGGACAGGACACACATGTAGGCAAACAGGCTGCAGAGGCTCAGAAATCATGGCCACTTTAGAGGCATCCCATCCCCCCTGTGCCTGTCAAGCTGCCTATGTTCCTCTTGTCCAGCTTGGCTCCTGAAGCATGATGGGCTTCACTGAGGGTGAGATTCTGGTCCCTGGAGGTGGGAAGTGGTCCTGAGCCAGGGGCCTAGAGGGGCTTAGAAAATACTTTGGCTGCAGAGTTTCAGGCTCTTCCATCACCACCTGGCTGTGGCAAAACCTTCTGGCTTCCTCCCTTCCCCCTCCCTTATTACCTAGCACCACAGCTTCCCCTTACCTGTGTGCCTACCCTTGGCCATGCACACTCTTAGGATGGAATTGCCCCATCAGGTCCTCAGCTGTTTTATTCAGTGGCCACTCAACTTCAAGTTGGGAGAGGCACATAAATAACCCCACTACTTCCTGGCCACTCTTCCTTTTACATCTCCCTTGCTAAGATGTTTGCTGCCCTGGGAGTTCCTTGAAGGCAGAGAATCGCTGTGCAATGGTCTGAGCCAGCAAACTCTTGCAGGCTTTGGGGGTTCGCCATATCTAGCTAGGATGCTATCCTCCTCGGAAGTCCAACAACTTTTAGACATGAATGAATAACATAAGCTATCCCCCTCCACCCATCTAGAAATAGAAGACGTAATGGTGTTGGGGGGGGGGGATATTGGAGTGCTTCCAGGCTGTTGCATGGAGTGCCAATTCACATGAGTATTGGGAGACCTGCATGGCAGCAATTACTGAAGGCATTTGTCTCTCTCTGGCTCCGGTAAAACCAGAGCAGGTGTCTGTCAAAAGATGTGCACGAGAATGCGCCTAGCATCTGCAGCCGTCGTACACCAGACACGGAAGCAAATGTCTCTCGGCAGGAGTGGAGAAAAGTAGCTGGTGGCATATCCATACACAGGAATACTATTTGGCAATAACCAAGGAATCAAAGTGCCAAGGCACTCTCGGCACAGGCAGCTTACGAACTGCTTGAAGCCGGAAGCCGAGGAACCTAGGTTGCATAGTCCAGCTGTCAGAGGCTAGTTTACTTATAACAGAAACCAGTCTGGCCCTCTAGCCAAGGGTGTGATGTTGACTAGGCAGGACACAAAGGAGCCTTCTAGGATGCAGGAAATATTCTCTGGTTTGGTGTGGGTGGTGATTACAAGGGTGAAGGTCTACACAAATAAACCATCAGTCATGCGCTTAGGTATTGATTCCGCCGTAGGAAAGTAGCTTATCAAAGGGCTTCTGAGACTCTGATTAGCTTCCACCGTAGCCTTTTCAGTAGAATTAGGGAAGCCCACATGCCCAGCGTTTTCTTCAGAGTCCCAGAGGATTCTAATTTATGGATGGAGAAGCCCAGGGCAAAGCTAGCCACGGTTGCATGCCAAGCAAGCCAGTTGCTTGTCTGTGTCTGATGGGGTCTGGGAGTGGACTCCTTTCTCAGCTGTGGGGTGGTGGACACCACACAGAGGGCAGCACCGGTGACCCCTCCTCCCTCAGCAGCGACCTGGCCCCAGCTCTTTCTGTGCTTCCTGGAACCTGCCTTCCCCAGACGCTGTTCCCAGCACTTAAGGCTGAGAGCTA